ACTAAAAGGACAGAAGCTGGGATTGTAAACTATTGGGAGTCCAGGTGCCTATCCCTGCTATAAACTGCCATGGACAAGATACGAAATCACTTGGATCAAAACATGCCTTGGAAGGAGGTAGGACTTGGTCAGGACAGCATCTGACTTTTGAGAGGAAGACTATTGATATAATTAATGTCTTCTGATGTAATAATCTGAAGTAGGATCACTTGGATCAAAACATGCCTTGGAAGGAGGTAGGACTTGGTCAGGACAGCATCTGACTTCTGAGAGGAAGACTATTGATATAATTAATGTCTTCTGATGTAATAATCTGAAGTAGGCAATCAGTATTCATTTGGATGTATAAATTTTGATGTATGAGTCAATTCAATTATTTTATATCCATGTCTCCTGATAGTGTAATTTCAAATGTTTTTGTGTAAAAAATCATTATTAAGAGATGTGTTAATCCGTAAAGATTATTATAAATTATCAAGAATTAACAGAGGCTACCATAAATAGACTTATACTATATGTACTGGCTTGATGCATTTTTTCCTGTTCCTCTAGTAGACAGGGAAGGTCAATATTTTCAAAAAATCAAAACCCCCAATAGGATGTCTATTCCAAACAATTTTTTTTCTACATCGAACTCATCTAACTTACATATTGAGACTTGGGTTAAATGTAGTTATTTGAATCTGTCGTGTTTGTGGACACTGGACAAACTATACAATAAATTTTGGAGGAAAAGTATGACATGATTATGGGGATATTACAAAAACCTATGTGTTGATTTAATAAAGATTTACTGAGCAAAAACTATACATGGGGCTTTTCAGTGACATATCTTAGGAGCTTGTCAGGGTTGCTTTGTGTATATGAAGGTTGGTGTCAAACAATTTTGTTGTGTTGACTGAAAGCTTTATAATTCCAGATGTGTTAGAAACCTTCCCAACTATGACTTCTGTGGTCTTAAGTTATAGGCCCTGTATTCGTTTCCTACGGCTCCCATAACAAAGTGTTACAAACTGGGTGGGTTAAACACAAGAAATTCATTGTCTCACAGTTCTGAATGCTAAAAGTCTGAAACTAGGTGTTGGCAGGATTGGTTCCTTCTGAGGCTGTGAGCAAGAATATGTGCCATGACTCTCTCCTAGCTTCTGATGGTCTGCTGGCTATCATTGGTCTTCTTTGGCTTGAAGATTCATCACCCCATCTCTGTCTTCATGATCATGTGGTGTTCTTGCTATAGACTGAATGTTCTTATTCCCCCCTAAATTTATTTGCTGAAATATAATCCCCAATGTAATGATATGTGGAGGTGGGGACCTTGGGAGGTGATTAGGTCATGAGGTTGAAGCCCAATGAATGGGATTAGTGCCATAATGAAAGAGACTCCAGAGAGCTTTCCCATCCCTGATGCTGTGTGAGAACACAATGAGAAGGCAGCTACTTGTGAATCAGGAAGGGGGGTCTTTGCCAGAACTCAATCTTGCTGGCACCCTCATCTCAGACTTCCAACCTCCAGAACTATGCAAAATAAATTTCTGTAGTTTATAAAAATCACCCGGTCTATGGTATTTTGTTATAGCATCCTGAACAGACTAAGACAGTTCTCCCTATATGCACGTCTGTATCTGTATTTCCCCTTTTTATAAGAACTCCAGTTATACTGGATTAGAGGGTCCATCCTGCTCTAGTCTGACCTCATCTTAGCTAATTACATCTGTAAAGACCCTGTTTCTAAACAAAGTCACATTCTAAGGTATGGGGGGGGGGCGGTTAGGCCTTCAACCCATAACAGTCCCTATGTTTAAATTTTGTTTTATGTCTTTTTTTACAGTAGTAGGATTGAATAATTTAAATGATTAGGAACCATTAATTTTATCACTAGGGAATATTTATAATTCTGAAGAGAAATAGAAATTTTTTTTTTTAAAAAAAAGCAAGATAGGAGAAGGTAACAATAATTCCAGGTGCCCAGTACTAATGGCTTCCACCAATCTCACCTAACATCATCATGAAATCTTTACTCACTTGAAGAAGCTAAAGTACATGATTGGTCCAAACAAAGTCTATCTTTTTCTTATGAGTCTAATAGGGAAATACATTTCATATAGCTATTTAATATCACCTGGCATTAAAGAGGAGGAGAAAAACATTAACTGTTGCAGTGAAATATGCTGATTTGACGATTTCTTAGGAAATCTTGGAGAATGGAATGCTTAGCTTTTCCAGGGTAAGATGAGGAGAAATGATTGCCGATACTGACTTAAAAAATCCTGTTTAGTTTCATTTGTTTCCTGCATGAAGGTAAACTTGAACTGTAAAATGCATTTCACGTCCAGTATTCAATTTATCAGGAGGACAAATAAGATATTGTTTGTATCTTTACTTACATGCAATGCCATCTTTCAGTGTTTCTCTTTTGTTTTTCTCAGTTGGAAAGCTCTAAAGACAATTTTTTTTCTTATATCATTTTTGTAGATATTGTTTTAAATCAGTACCATTGGTGCCTAAACATATTGATCATGTCACCAAAACCAAAATGGCTATCAAAAAGCCTGGTGTTTAAATACTAGTCATTAAAATATATTTAATGTTGAATTGATAAGTGACCCTTAACCCTCATGCTTCTCATTAACCATAAAAAGCAGTCTTTAATTTATAATACCTCATGAAGCACTGGTTTTAATTTACTTCTCCTTGAAAGACCTCTCTAAGAATATTTGCATTGTCAGCAGCTTAAATTGACCACAGAAATGATAACTAAATAATTTAGAAAATTGTAAGATGATTTAGGCATTTAAGATGTGTATAAGGTAATTAAAACCAAACTTTAGGAGGGTTAAAGTTAAAGCCATACTGCAGTTGGTTCTTCTACAGCTGGGGTCACTGCTAAGTTGTACAAAGGCATATGTTCAATTTACAGTTGTAATGAGGAACATAGTATGTTTTGATTCTTCGTTTGCTGTGCTCATCTCTAGAGGATGCAATTGCCTATAGTAAAAAATGAACATAGGCTCTTTTGTGGAGGATAATAAAAATGTGTAAAGATAATACATGCCACATGCCACATGCATATATGGTTGGCATATGGCTTTTCTCTGAGTACAGACTTGTTGCCTTAGCTATCATGGAGTAGGCTCATGGAAACATTCATTATTAGCCATTCAGGAATGAGACCAATTCCTTTGATTTCATTAGTTTGATCATTATTATTAAATTTTAACTAATACATGGTGCTTATAAGGGTGTTTTTGGTAGATTTTTCACTTGCAAGGACATTTTGTGTTTTATTTCTTTCTAATCTGCAAAACGTAGGTTATAAAGTTTTCTTTCTCTGATGTTGAATATATACAAGACATAGTAAGAGATATAAAGCAAATTTTTTTCTTTTTCCTTTTTCTCATTTTACAATTTAAAAAAAATGAATGACATTGGGGTTTCTGATTTTTTTCTCTTTGTTGATGTACTTGAAAATATTAGTACATACTTTTGAATAAACTTAAAGAAGTATTTATCATATCATGTTGTGATACAGGTTGATATTTAGTAGAAGGACCAGCTTTTATTCAGCAAATACTTTATTCAGCAAATTCATCCCAATTATCATTCTATAAAGTTTGCAGAACCACAGTGAACCTAGCTATATTTAGGGTCCTACTCTTGACTTAAAACAAAACAAATATAACCTTTCATTCTAAAAAATGCATGAAAGAATGATCTTGAAACCTCTCTGATTTGGACAAATAGGTAGATAATAATTGGAATTGGTGAAAAATACAGGAATAAAAGTAGTATGTTTAATTAAATCAGTAGTCTCATTTAAATATATGTAACTAATAATCATTTGTTTTGCACCTACCCAGAACTGCTTTTTCCTTGGTGCACTGTTCTTCACTAGTTCCAATCATGTGGGCTGCCGAAATCTGCCCCTTGCCATTTTGTGCTAGTTTGACTAAAGAATGGGCAATCACAATGCCCAAGTCCTTTGTCATACTGATTGGTCTAGAGGTTTGGTATGTTACCTATACCTAGCCAATAAGACTCACACCTAGGATGTTTCCATTTTGGCTCTTGGGAAAAAGGAGTTTTGGGTTTTAGAGTTGGAAAGAAATAAATTGGAAGCAAATAGCAGCCAACCCAATAAAGTCAATCAGGGATCAAAGGAAATGAGTGTTTGAGAGGAAGCAGATCTTAGTTGCTTCATTTCCCAGGTCTGTTAGAACTCAGAGTTGCCCTTTTTATTCCAGCATTCTTCCAGGATATGCCTCTTTTCTTCCTTACAGCTCAGTTTAAGTTGCAAAGGTCCTGAATAATGAAATAGATAATAAGAACTCATAATCAACATGGTATTTGTTTATATGTATATGTGCTACTTCTAATGTACTAGTATCTTCTCTTAAATATTTCAAACTTCCTACATATATCTTTATTTAGACAAAGTTCAGACCAGCTAAAACCTTCACTGATAAGGAAATGGTAAATTTTACATCGATGAATAATCATAAACCCTGAATTAACAACATCCAAATTATTAGAACTATGTAGCATTAATGCTGATTCCTTTAAATTGTGTCCATAAGTTTGCTTGGGCCCTGAAACCAACTTGCATTATTATGTATTTTTTTTCTTTCTACTTTTCAGATCAAATGTATTGGCCTATACCATCCCCTTGAAATCGAATTTTGCAGCCTTCTGGCTTTCCTCCAAAAGTCTTTCATTGTGTCACAAGCCATCCTTGTTTTCAATTCATTCTTTATCCACTGTGTAAACTAGGTGGACCCGAATACTTAGGAAAAATCGAAAGCATTTGGTTGTTATTAGTGTAAGGATAGCTGACTCACACATGTAAAACATTAAAGAAACCTTACAAATGTTTGAGTAATTATTTTTTCTGTTGTTGTTTGGGGCTGTGGGGCATTCAACCACATCCTGCCATGCACACACACTTGAGATCTCTCTTAATTACCAGGTATAGTTTTAGGCTAATAAAACAAACAAGGACAATATTTTTATTTTCTTTTCCCAGAATTTTTATTGTTTTTATTTAAATGTAACATACTATACACTGTTCAGCCTTTTGGGAGGTAGGAGGAGGGAGTGATTCTATATCTTTAAGAGGAGTCACCTCAGAACCAATACTCATACGGACACATACTGGTGGCTGATACACCTTAACTTCATGGGCCAGGGCCACACTTCCCACAGAGGCAGAGCTCCCAAAATCTAGATATGTTTTTAAATCTACAACATTCAGGCTAGAACTGCTTTTCCTTCAGTAGTTGCAAAAGGGTTCAGAATTCTATCTCAAGATTGAGCAAATATGCCATTTTTAAATGCAAGAGAATCTCATTACTCCTTACCAGACTGTTTCTGTCTTTATGGTGGGGAGGGGGGGGTGTGTTTCTATTTTTGGCCTCTGCAAGCTTTGATACATTTTGCTAGAAGCTGTTTTAGTGTCTTGAGTACTATAATGATGACTGTTTACACATGGTCTCTTTGGTAATCTAAATGGCTGTGTGAAATAGGAATCCAGTTTGCGCCTTACTTGCTGTTACTGTGGTCATCTAATACTGTGTTTGTCTCACCAAACATTTAATTTTAGTTGTGGGTGGTCCATGTTCATGTGTCAGGTGCAATTATTATTTTAAAATAAAAGAAAAAATGTATCTAGTTCTGATAGGAATGCCTTCCATTATAGCTCTCAGACTCAGTAACCAATTAAATTCTAACATACAGATACCAACCACAAAAATTAAATATTTTCAGAATCCCACTTGTCAAAAAGCAAGTTGGAATCAAAGTACCATGAAAAGCAACTTTAGCCATAAGCCCAATCACTGTGCCTCAAATGCATTTCTTTTGAAATACCAACTTTTTTAAAGAATGAGAAAAATATGACCTTTTGTATATTACTTTTTGGGAAAATTTCTTAATAAAGCTAATTTTTAAATAACAGGTTAACTGGAAGTGCTGGTTAAGGATTGACACAAATAAGTTATAAGAGGATCACAAAACACCAGCCTTTCTAGAAGTTAAATTTTAGTAAAAAGACACATTTAGTGAGTCTTTTCCTTGTACCACAATACTGTGTCCAGACAATGAAAATAAACAGACTTTTTCAAAACAAGAAATATGAAGATAAAACTGCAGCATCAATATAATCTTATAGTAATCACTTAAAGTATTTAGAACAAATAATATTTTTCTACATTTTTAAAATCACTACAGACACTGCAAATAAGGCTTACGTATTTATTTAGTGGAATACAATGTGATGACGACTGGTGAACTCTTATGTACTGTTTTCTATACCTGCTCTAACAAAATGAATTTCAATATGGTTACATTATGGAACCTTCTAAAGCTCTTGAAATTTACAGAAAATACATTTTATTTGGTTTTGTAAAGACTAGATCATACAGCTTGAACAGGCTTCAGTATGTGGCTACACATATACCAGGATATATTTGCTCAGTTTAAGCCCCTGGGAGAGTCGCACTTCATACCAAATTCCTTGATAGTTCCTTTGGGGGAGATTACGTGGAGGAGATTATGCATTATGTGGGATTTACAGAGGGTTTGTATATATGCAGGCAGCCTCTTTATCATTTACCACTGTGATGTATGGCAAGAGAATGTTAGTAAATAATGAGGCTAGGATACGAAGATGCATTTAACAATTTTCCTTCTTTTAGTATATTCTCGGAGACAAACTGATTTATTAATAGAGAAGAATTTGGCCTTTTGGTCTATTTCTTAGGAAAGGAAGCCTCAGGAGTAATAAATGTTTTTAAATGATGGCAGACATCTCTCATTCAAGCCATGGCACAGCACTGCCATATTTATTGTTGATGGTTCTGATTGCAGAAGTGCAAATTAAGTCAACCGATAGCACACTGGGCACTCATTCTGCTTCCCTAACTTGCCTCTTTTTTTGAAGTGTTTGCCAAGTTTTAAAAACACTTTGTCATGAACATGCATGTGGTATGCCAAAGAAAAAGAAAAGGTAAATCAAAGGGCAGCTGCTGAGGATACTCTTTAAAACCCCAAAAGATATTTAACATCCTATTAAATAAATAACTTAGAAAGAAATAGAAAGGGATGAAGGCAGAATGCACAAGCATACCATACTATTTGTATTGTTAGAACAGTTTCACACTAACATGTGTATATTTTTTAATTCTATCCAATTTTTCCATGATGCCACACCCAAAGCTCCTGTGGTTGTGCATAGGATATGACCCAAGTGCTTTCCAGTAAATGCTTGCGTGTCTTGCTGCTCATTGAATCATTAGGCTTGAATGAGCAAAGAAAGTCTTTGACATGAGTTCGTATTCCATAAATAACTTTCCCAAAGATCATTCAACAGATTGTTCCATGTCCTTTAAGTTCTATCTCAGAGGTTCAAAAACAAAAGGAAAAACTTAAAAAAGTCCAGCCATAATGTTGTTCACTTGGGAATAACTTCCATCCCATTTGATCTGCCTATATCTTGATTATAAGGCATGACACAGAACTAATTAAAAGAACATCATATGTCAGCAGTAAGTACAAAAACCTTCAAAGGATTCCTCTCTTTTAGGCAAGCAGACATCTGCAATGTATCTCTTTGAGCTACTGTCTTCCTGAAGAATACCAACTGTTCCTGGCAAAAGGGCCTTTGGTTCTACCGAATCCACAAACATTGCCTTCCTCTATGAGTGTACCACCATTGGAAGAAAGTGAGCTGAGGTGTTTTTCCTTCGTGTTTTCTGTCCTCTCCTTGGAGCTCCTTTTCCATTCAATGCCACATACATTTGCCTCCCATTGTGCTGCCAGTTAAAGGATGCGTAGGTATTGTATCCGTTTTCCTCTATCCTCTCCTTCAGCTTACAGTCATTGTTAAATTCTTTCTGCAAAGAAAAAACATAATCTTTTATTCCTATGTGATGATACTTGATTCTGTTTGACACAAACCATCTAAAGAACATTTTAAGGGTTTCGTTTGCAGTTGCCATTTGTACATATGTTGTGCTCTTAATACATCATGTCAACAGAAATAAAACTCATAGCCACAAAACAGATTCTGTGTTTGAAAGCACAGATCCATTTTACTTGACCATCATAGTCATATACTGGCATCCTTTTAAAAAGCTGGTGTGCTTTGAATATGGTTGAAGTACCTAAAATGATTGTGAAGAAGCAGATGTTCCACTAACAATATTTGTGATGAGCCAATAATAAAGGATAGTGTTATAATCTTTCTTTTATAATGATAACCAGGGGTCCCATGGGGAAAATAGAATTGCAGAAAAAATGCGGGCTTATCAAGTTTGCAAACTTCATCTACTTATAAATCCATAATAAATATAGACACACATTGATAAGAAAGCAGATCCTATCACAAAATCAAAATAGTTCTACATAACTAAAGGGCAGGGGGATGTCTTCCTCTGATTCAGATGCCAAATTTTTCAATTTTATTAAATTATTCACAATTTTCCATTACTTGTAATTTTGAAAAATTTTGTTCTGAACTCTAGGGATGATTAAAAACTAGGACATGAAATACCTTGTTTTGTGAATTACTATGTCAAAAAAATTATAAACATGGTGACTAGCAATGCCTACACATATTGTTTAAGCCTGAAGACTTTCGTCCTGGGAAACTCCAACCTATAGCCATAGATCTTTGGCTTTGTTTCAGGTGGCCAAGGGGTTTAAGGAAATGTGTTGGGACAAGGATTCACTCTCATTCACTCCACAAATTCAGGATCTTACCGTGGACTTCATAACAAAGAGGAGATACCTCAATGATCCCAAGCCTCTGGCTTCAGAAATACTCCTCTTCTCTTATCCCCAAACTAAAGTAGTTAAGAAGCTAAGGAATTGGGACTCTTGTCCTTCTGGTTCTACCTTCTCCATCCAAACTGGGAGCATTGTGGATATATTTCAGTTGAGGTATCTGCTGGGCAGTTTCTCTCACCTTGGGACTCTTTAAAATTTCTTCGAAATTCCAAATTCCTGAATGTGTGTACACTTAAATACCCAAGTATCTGTGAGATAGGTCATAATTTTGACATTATCAGAACCATCACAAGCAAGTATATATTATGTTAGTGTTACCAGTGTAAGCTTTCTTTGCTGGAACTTATTAGGCCTAAGCGCTTTTATTCTATAAAGTAATATTTAAGTGTAACATTCAAATGATGACTATCACAAGCAAGTATATATTATGTTAGTGTTACCAGTGTAAGCTTTCTTTGCTGGAACTTATAAGGCCTAAGCGCTTTTATTCTATAAAGTAATATTTAAGTGTAACATTCAAATGATGACGTAGTTGGTTGAAAATAAGAAGAAAAAGTAAATTGTTAAAATAATAATTTTAATAAAACAAAAAAAATCTGCATTAGAAAGGAGTTTAAATCCTTAGTATGTTTTTTTTTCTTTTTATTCTTCTACATCTGTTTAAAACTACTTGTATATGGTTTTCAAAGCAGGGGTGGTTTTTTAACATGGATAATCGTATTCATTTCAATAAAGGGGGTTCAGTTTAGGGACTAAAGGAGGATTGAGATTATTTCATGTGACTTTGTATTGAAAAGTGGGAGTGGATGCTTAATTATTTTTCCTCCCAAAAATGAACTTATAGAGTGTTTCTTAAAATGAAGTGCACTTGTAGCAGCCTCCTCATCTCAGGTGTTTTAAATATTTGGGCCATAGCTCAAATGTCAGAATCTCTGGAGGAGGGGCCTACGAATCTATGGGATCGCAACCCTTGGTGTTGCTCCCGCGCCTCGCTCAGCCAGTGAGCGGGAACCGGTCTGTATGTGGGATCCGAACCCTTGGGCAGGAGCGCCGCCGCGCTTCCCAAGCGGCGCACTGTCCAGTGCGCCACCGGGCCGGCCCCGAATCTATGTTTTTTATCGGATCTTGACAGATCATAAGTACTAAAGTTAAAAAAAAATCTAGGCTACAGCGAGTTCTCAAAAGTAGGGTTTTGGTAGCTTAGAAGAAGGTTTTCAATTTTCTCCAGCTACCTGAGAAATTTCTTTGGTACTTAAACCATGCTTTGTGAGGTTCTTTCTATTTAATTCAGTTTTATAACTTGTTTACTTAATTCCATCAGAATTAAAGTCGGAAGAAAACTCAGAATACAATAGATGCATTGTTCAGAGAACGAATAATGAAAATATAAGAAAGATAAATGTTTCCTACAAAGGAATAGAAGAAAATATTCAAGAGATAATAGATATAGAGCTGTTTTAATCAATCACTCTGGGTATATGCCTAATTGAGGTTTTCAGAAAGGCTTATTGCATCAATGGAAATTATATTTAAAAAATGAAGGTAGGGATTATGAGTGTTGTCACTGGGTATGCAGAATTATATTAGGTATGTGCTCATAAATGGTATACCCTTTAGGTGCAAAGTTATTAGTCCTATTCCACTCTGAGCAGGACATTCAATTTGAGTAGATTTTTTATTTAATTTGAACAAGCCATAATTTTTCACTATTCCTGGGAGTAATGCAAAAGTGCGAAAAGAGAACACTATGGTTAGAGAATGAGATTCTTTCTGAGACAGGTTGAAAATTCTCTAAGAAGGCAGGCATATTCTCTAATGCGCCAAGCTACTAGGAGAGTTAGTTAGGTTTTGCTTTGTATAACTCTGTGCTCTGAATGGTTCTAAGTGCTGAGCACATAGTGGGAGACAAGGCTGACCCTACCCTCTTGAAGTCATGATACTGGGAGAAGACAGTAGCTACTAGGAGAGTTAGTTAGGTTTTGCTTTGTATAACTCTGTGCTCTGAATGGTTCTAAGTCCTGAGCACATAGTGGGAGACAAGGCTGACCCTACCCTCTTGAAGTCATGATACTGGGAGAAGACAGTAAATAATAAACACATTAATGAGAGAAATATCAGGTTGGTACCTTTGCAGATAATTAAAATAGGGTGATGTGATAGAAAGCAACTGAGCATCTACTTTAGATAAAGAGATGGAATGAAATAATTCACAGAGCTTAGAGCTCAAAAAGAAGCATAAGCATAGTACATGAGCTATGTTGGGGTAGAAGAAAAAAGTGGGCATGGGCAAATGGGAGGGTAAGAATTAAATATTTTTATGTCACAGTTCATTTGAGAGTTATTCATTTCTTCTTGATGTCACATTTTTAAATATGTATATTTCATCAATTGTAATTATTTTAACCTTTTGTTCCAATTAAGACTATTTACATTTTCTTTCTTAGTCTAAATTAGTGTTAGTTGGCTTTACTTTAAAGCATCGATTTTTCATTAAGTGTGTGTATCAGTATCTCTTCAGAGAATATACACCCGGTCCTCTTAGCCAGTAATTTTGTTAAAGGAGATCAAGGAAGGACCCAGGAATATTTAATGAAATGAAATACACCAAAATGCCTCAAAAGAGATTATGATGTGAACTCCTAAATGGAACCACTTTTTAAAATGGTCCTTTACTCTGCTAGGCTCATTTGTAACAAGCAGTGCATAATGGAGACATTTAACTAAAATTCCTCTGACCTCCATGTAAAAAGCCTACTCTAGCCCCTTAGACAAAGGGACCAACCCAAAGTGTGCTTGACTCCCCAATTAAAAGTGGACCTGATATGAATAAAATGCAAGGCTATTCTGTGTCCAGACCAGTGGTTCTCAGATTGTGGTTACTGAGCCAGCAGCATCAGGAACACTTGGGACCATGTGAGAAAAGCAAGTTCTGAATCAGAAAATCTGGGTGTGGGTCTTGTCATTCTGCCCTTTTAATAAGTCGTCCTGAGGATTCTGATGCATATTCCTCTGACGGCTGCTGGCTCTAGGCCATCACTACAATTGTCCTTAGGCTAATCAACAAAATAAATTTATTTCCACACTTAAAGTGAGATGCCTTTTTAATCCTATGAAAAATGTAAAAATGACACAAGATCTGGTTGGGAAAAAATGAGATTGTTTAAGAGATCTGTGTCACAGGTTTTATTTCCTGCCAATAAATATTGTTATATGTCCCACAAAAAATGGAATTAGAAATTTTTAAGATCAAGCTTATAGCTGGCTTCAGTATACTCCCTTAGAGTCTAGGGGAAAAAATGTAAATTCAGTTGGCATCTCCTTGATCCAGCTTTGGCACTGACAAAATGAAATGCTTTCACATTCATAAACTGATCTACTGTCGTCATTCAAATAGATAATTAAGAGATTGAAACTTAATTCCTAACTTTATCATAGGCTTACTATACTATTCCTGGTCCTTCTTTAAACTTAACAGTTAATTGCTCTGTAATTATTTCACATTTGTTTACATTTTTGCCTAAATATTATAAATTATTTGAAGTTCAGGCCCATTTTCTATACTTCTTATGCTTCTTTGGTACATCAAACAGTATCTGGCATATAGATATTGATATAATTGGTTGGCATATTCTAAAAATCTGAACAGAATAAATTGTTACACTGTTTATAATTTAATGTTAATTATAATTACAATATTAAATCTAAGATAACTATTATTTTAAGTGAGATCACGATCTAAGAAAATTGGTCTAAATGAGTTTGATCTAAGGTTGTAGACGTAATATTCAAAATATTCAACCCTTGGTATGGAACACGGGTATGGGTGTACCCAAAGCACTGACTGGATACTAACCCCATAAGGACCCTATTGCAAGGAATAATATTTCCACATATATATGTTTATAGTTCAGGCATAATTTGAATTAGTGACTATTGTTATTGTCTAGGTAAATAAAATTTAGAGTGGATTGAATAACATGCATAATTATAAATTCCTTGATAAGTTTCCCCATTTCAGATTTTAACAAAATACAAAACATCTGAGCCCCTGTTTTATTTTCAGCTGTAACACACACATAGCATATGGTTTGCCAGTCAATTCAAGATCTTTGTTTTTAATGATTCTTCTCCAAGTGGTCTGCAGCTCCCATGCCAAGCTGACCAGATGCTTCCGTGAAAGTCTGACTGGTTAGTTCAGAACATTCACAGACAAATGCCAGCTATAGCCTATGTGGTAGACGAATGGGTGAACAACAGAAATTATAGAGTTGGAAGATCTGCTTTGCCAGCCTTTGCAACTCTGGTGACCAGCCCACTGTGGCTCTATTTACCAGCAATAGAACAACAACAAAATTATTCAATGTCTGGAAGAAACATTCCAAAACTGTGGTAATGATTTACTGCAGTGGATTTTGACAACAGAAGCAGGATACTTACTGAGCCGTAGAGTTTCCCCTTCTTGTTCATGGCTAAGTAATAGTTGCTGTTAATGGCTTTGACAGCAACAACTCCAATTTCCACTGATGTTATCTCCAGGATACCTAAAACACACAATAAAAAAAGGCTAAATGTAAAGAGTCATATAAATTTCGTTGAAAGAAAGTAAAATCAAAAGAAACTATTGAGTTTATATTTTGACGATCCTAAAAACAAAAGGCTAAAATAATTGGGGAAAAAAACCCCACAACCAAACCTCTTTTGCTATGGTTAAAAAGCCAGCAAATATTTCAAGTAGCAAGGTTTTAAAAGAATTCCCCTCCATTTTACTCTGAGCATATATAGGAAAATATTGTTTTAATTAAAATGTTTCCTTTGCTAACTGCATTTTCAACCCCATAAATATTAAAAACAACTCTACTCATTTTAGCCTAGATTTCACAAAGACTTTATCAGAGCATACATCTGTACTATGGTATCAAATTAAATCTACAGCATATGTCAATAATATCTCAGATTTACCTCAATCTGTAAAAACTGTTTTTTCTTTGTAGAACATTAGATAAACTAAATTTCTTGGCTACATTTAACTGATAAATTTATTTTTGGCAAATGTGTTGACATTCTGAGATATAGAGAGACTAATCCATATATCCACACTGTCTTTAAAATAGCAGAATCACTAATTTGGGTTGGGGGAAAATTCATCAACATTTTTTAAAGTTTTTTTTTTTTTTTTTTTTTTTTCTAAAAGAGTGGAAAACTTAGAGCCTTAGTAACTGATAGACAAGAGACTTTTCCTCCTAATACATGAGCTTCAATTGCTACGTCTAAAGATATTTCTCTGGAGAGCTTGTAGGTAGCTATGGGGAAGGCATTTGATATTCTCAAAGTGCTCACCCATTTCAGGTTAAGAAGACCTTGGGAACTAAAACCTCTTATTTTATAACTCTCAGGAAAGCTTGCTCAGGGTAGAAAAGAAGAATTCCAATCAGCATGTGGCCTCTGGAACCAGAGTGTCTGGGTTTGACTCCTGGCTCTGCATTTATTGGTAAATGATCTCAGGAGAAGTCACTGAACTTCCCCATGTCTCAATTACATTTGAAAATAGGCAACATAATAGTACTTCCCCCATAATCTTGTTGTGAAGATTAAATGAGATAGTACATGTAAAACAATTAAAATTTGCCTGCAATTCAGTATCTCCTTAATTATTATTAGAGGGAGGTTTTCCTCAAACAGTTCTAGATTTTTGAACTTCTTCAACAGACTGTGTAAATCCTGAATAGAACATACAAATTCCCATTGGCTTAGCCCATAAAATCTGAAAGTTGATCATAAGTTACCATTTATCATGTATTAGCTATTGATGAGAAACACTATCCTAAACATAGTATACAAATTATGTTTATAGTCTTCCCATAGGGATAAAGCAGCTTATTCTCAAAACATCAATGACTTCTTTCTTCCTCTTCCTTCACAGATTAGCCTTGTGGAGGCTAATAGAAATGCTTGAGTCCTCTCATTGTAAAGTTGGGCTACCCAGAGATTTGTGCCAAGACTACATGCCTCAGACCATTCAGTTCATGCATCAGTTGGAAGCCTCTGACCTCTTTTGCAAGCAAAAACCAAGGAAAGATTGTGAACGGTGAAGGAGACAGTATCTGTATTTATAACTTCCTTTTCTCTTATTCTGGTAGTTGCACTGAAGATACACACACACACACACACACTTATTAGCATATTTAAAAAGTACTTTCTTGTAATTTATGTCTTTAATTCACACAACAGACCTCTAAGGAGGTACTGTTATTCTCGACTACAGAAGACAATAGAAAAGTTCCTGAGGTTACATAACTCAGACACAAGGCGATCAGGTGAAACAGGGCCGTAGTGATGGACCCAGCACCTGAGCTCTGACTTTCAGACTATCTTCGTCTCCATCTCTGACTATTTGACTCTCCACCACACCTTTCCCTCTTTCCCATCCCCACAAAGGAATCCTGTTGGAAAGCCATCTGACAAAGTGACTCATCAAGATAATAGTCTTTAATGACTTAATGTGCTATTCCTCCCAAGGATGTCGGCATGCCACAGAGGATAATGTATGAATATCAGAGGACAAAATCTAATATACTTTATTCATTTTACAAACACAGGATCTAGAGTAGGAAGGAAGGAGAATTTTGGGGCAAAATATTAGGCTGCTGTTTACTTTGAGCGCACAAGAGGCAAGTAAGTATTGTCAGTAAATTGCAAGGTGATCCCTATATGTGTGTGTTTAAAAATGGAAATTAATAGGACAAAGAGAAATGAAGGATGATCTTAGCAAAGAATAAACCAAGATTTCTGAAGGTGTAGCAAGAGGCAAGTAAGTATTGTCAGTAAATTGCAAGGTGATCCCTATATGTGTGTGTTTAAAACTGGAAATTAATAGGACAAAGAGAAATGAAGGATGATCTTAGCAAAGAATAAACCAAGATTTCTGAAGGTGTAGGAGAAATGGTGGGATCAAGCTATAGTAACAGACTGAATTGGCAAAAGGAAAAACATCATGATATAAATATTACTAAATCCTTGACCAATTATTTCTGAGAGTGCACTGCTCATGAGATCATATTTAGCTCAGATACACCTGAATTTCTTTCTGCTTTGCTCAAAATAGAAACTCAATATTCTAAGAATCAATCAACCTTTTTTCCCACACTGCAAAGAGTTCAGGATAGCTTGAAAAGATTTAGCATTGCTTCAAACTAGAAAGAGGGAAGACCTGGATGATTTAAGGTCCTTTCAAATTTTGAAAATAATTTTTTGGAGGCACCATATGGTCAGTAAGTTATAATTTGATAATCTTGTGGGTAATGGACAATGACTGCATTTATTATAAACATCTGTGAATGTGAAAGTGACTTTCTGAGGGACTGAAGTCTAGAGAACTGCTCTGCTTTTCATAAGGAATCTCTCCAGTTTTTTCTGTTCTTTGATGAGGATGATCAAGTTCGCCTATAAAATTATTTTTGGAAAGGAGCTCCAGAATTTTGTCTGAGGATTGTTAGATCAAGAGCTTATGATTCTATCTGTGTATATTTTGATGCAAGGTTAAAAGCCAATTGAAAGAGCCTCCTGGGGGGACGTAAGTGAAGAGCATACTGGATATTCCTGTGTTTCTTACAACTTGTGTGAATCTATAATTACTTCAAAATTAAAAGTTATAAGCATTCTTTTGTTATTCAAAGAAAGTAAAATCTAGGAATTATATCATCAATAAAAGGAAACATAAATTATGTTTCCCACTGATGTGAGATACTTTGTAAATTTAAAGACACATTCTTGTAGTGAAATTCTATTATTTATATTAAGTTATAACAATATCAGTTTTGATATACCTCAAAAGATGAATATTCCAGGTGGTATTGTAAATCTATTTTAGGGCCTTTGGACAGTTTAGTTCGAACACTTAGGAAGACCTAGGAGAAGGGCACTTTTTTAGGAAGTGGAAATATAAAATGAAATAAATTATAGCTTTTCTCTTGAGAAGTCTATATTTTATTGGGAGTAAAAGACAAATACACAGAGAATTACAATAAAACATATTATGTGATAGTAAGTGCTAAGAGGAAGATGGGGGAACTATAGAGCAAAGAGAAATGCAGTTGATACTGGCTGGGACTTCAAGTAGACTTTCTAGAGACTTGAGCAAAATCATTAAGGTGAAACAGCCCGGTGTCTTAAAAAATCCTAGGAGGTTTGGCTTACCAACCAGAGTAAAAGTAACAAGGCAGGAGGTTGTGAAAAGTAAAGTTGGAGAATTATGCCAGTCTCAGATTAATAACCATCTTGTACAGATTCTAAGAATTTTCACAACTAGAAAGTATTTTATCTAAAAATATATGACTGCTTAAAGAATATAGAAGAAACAATATTTAGCAAATTTCTTTAAGTAAATAGTAGCAATCTATAAATATTATTTTGGGTTATGTTGGAATATTAAACAATAAAGTTTGATAATCAGTATTACAGCATTACAAAAGCAACTGTGACAAAAATCAGCTCCTATTAATTAGCAAATGCTCCCTAATGATCACCCTAGTAATGAGGAGGATTTTGCAAACTGACGAATTCCAAAAGGAAATAACTTAGAAATCACAATTTTCTGTAAATTATCTTTTGTTTTTACTTGCGGGGCACAAATATATAAATGTCCGGGCCGGTTACGGTTTGGTGAATCACTGAGTGGTTAATCTGAGGAAGTATCATTCACGAGTATCTTCCCCAGTTTCTACCTCTCATCCTTCTCTAGAAGAGGAGCATTTGACCTATTTTCCCCCCAGCAATCATGATGGACCAAGATTATTTCCCTTTGGGGGCTATAAGACTAAACAAGATATTAGCCTGGATGGTAACATTCTCCTTAAATACTTTTTCATAGACATAAGAGGAGAAAGTAAAAGGCAAATAAAACTTTTATTTAATAGAATTGTTATAGACAGGGAAAAGTTAGATGTAAAAAAAGGTGCAAAATCCTATTATCCTCTCTTAAATAAACAGAACATGAATATATAATGGAATTCTAGAGCTTGAGTAAATTAATCTAGCTTCAATGTATTAAGCACCATTGTGCAGGGTTGGTGTTAGCTCTCACTGTGAAGGATGCAATGACAAAGACAGGCTTTGCTGTGAAGGAGTTTTAAAGCTGGGTAAGATACGCTGGTACAAATAAGTAATCACAATACAAGGAAAAGGTATTAAGTACTATATGAAAAATAAAATCCATTGTCATGGCTCTAAATAATTAAGAAGTAGTCTTGAAGAAGATAGTTGGTGTTTGAGATGAACCTTCCATGGGGAGGGTTTTCATAGATCGGAATCTGGAAAGTTGAAGAGGAGCATGAGTAAGGAAAAGCCATGGATGGAGGGGAAAGAGCTTAGCTTGTCCCCCCCCCCCCACACACACACAGTGGCACTTTGAGGTGGTCACTCCAGCTAAAACAAAGGGTTCTGCTTCATTGAGTAGCAATGGTGCTTTTCTGGGTGAGGAATATACTTTAAAAAAAATGTTGTGAAACTTGGAAGCAGCTCAATAAATGTCAGAGCCTCATGAATT